GGCGCTCTCTGAGCGGGAGCCAGGGTTCAGAGGCTCGGGTGACAGCAGCGCCATCTTCTGCACCCCTCCAGCAGCCGTTTTACGTTGCCGAGGGAGGGCAAAGCCTAGGAACCCAGGGAGGAAAAAGATCTTCGCTGTCCATTGTAGGTGAGCCTCGGCAAATGTCCACTCTGAGGGCGCATTTACGGTCGATAGACGTGTCCGTGTGTGTCCTTTGCTCGTGTCAAGGCGACACAACGCCTAATGGAGTTGGAGGAAATCCTTGTGCACAGGTGCCAAATGGAGAACTGTAGAAACCCAAGCCAAGACCAAGACCAGGACGGGCGGTCAGGACTTCACTGAATCTTATAATGTACATGAGGAAACTGAAAAGAGGTATATGGCACATTAAACAGACTAACGGTGAAATTATAAGGTTTTCTCCCCTTTCGACCTTTAAAATATAGTGAGTATAAGGAACATTCACTCATTTCACAACCAGAAATCTAACAGTATTTATCTAAAATTAGAAGTGGTGCTGTTGTTGCCTGAGGTTTTCCTAACATCAAATCTGGATTGGGCATAGCAAAAGCCATAGGCCTCTTTCCTTGACCTGTATATAGGTGCGTGTCTTCTATAGTTTGGCTTTCCCATTTCTCTTACATGAAATCTGTTATTTTTTAAGCCACATAAAGTTTCTAGCCTTCTGTTGCCCCAAACCTGCAGGAAACTCAGAGAGTATCTGTGAAGTTCCTTCTAAAACAGGGAAGAACTCAGCTTCACCCAGGTGCATGTTTATTTCTGTTCCTAAGAACAAATGAGAACATTGCAAAACGGATGAACTCTTCCAGAACAGCAGCCACCACTTACAGGAGCCCTCAAAGTGTCCTCTGCATCCAAAGTCAGCAAGTGCTATTTTCAAAAAGAGGACAGGATGGAGAGCCATGGCTGGGTTTGCTGAGGCTTGTATCAAAAAGAAGTACCTTCTGTGCACACCATTGCCCTGTTTCCCTGAATCCCTGCTCGAGAGGTGTCAAGAAACCCAGGGTATCTGCTTGACACAAAGGTTGCTATCCTCCCCAGTCCTAACTCAAGAGTAAATTCTGTCTCTCACCTCCTTCTCCACCGAATCACGCGGTGTCCTTTGCCTCACAAGATTCAGAGTTATTGAATGTTTTCAACCTTTCTGTGCTTCTGGTAGTAGAATTTGGGGCTCTTAACTGAGGGGCTCAGAGATGCCAAGCAGGACCACATGGATCAGCTGTGACAGCAGCACAGCACCTTGGCTCTTTTTGTGTGCACCAAGCTTGTCCTCGCCCTTGGCAGCTTAGATGGGAAGGCGCCTCTGGACTTGACTTCACTTTAGGAAGGGCTTAAAAATCCTAATGCCAAAGTCACACCCCGGATCAATTACATGAGAATCCACAGGGAAAAGCCCCATTGCTTGGGTTGAGGAATTCCCCACGGACCCCACTGTGCAAGCATGTCGCAGGGCGTGGCCCCTGGACCTTTAGACAAAGGCTGCCCGCCAGTGTCTTGGTCTGAGATTTTCGTCCACTGGGATTGTTTTTCTCCCTCCCAGACACTGTACAGCTCTGCCACCCCTTGGAATGACCGCGGCAGCATCCAGGTGATACCTTACAGTGTCTGTCATCCACAGAGGTGGTCTGGATTCCTTCAAGGCTTCACCCATGCTTGGGTGAAGGCGGCAACTGCAAAGCAGGAGGGCTGAAGTCTGCTCTGTCTTCAAAAGAAGAGGAAGAGCGAGGGGATAGTGACAGAGAAGAAACCCCTAATGGCTGTGTGGACAGAGATTCAGGGAGAAGAGGTGGAAACAAGGGACTGTCCGCAGAAGCACGGTGTTTGCAGGCACTTGCCATGCCTGGATCTTAGTGCATCCTGGAGGGGCTGAGCTGTGTGCATGCTGGCAAAGGCCAACTCTGAGCTGGCTTCTGGTACTTGGCAGCCTGTCCCTGGCTTCAAGAATATATACTCGGCGACAACCAAACCATGGTCCTCCCTGTCCAGAATTTGTAGGTGCCCATTGGCACTGTGGTTGCATGAGGCCTGGTTAATGCTCCCAAAATAGGCTGGAAAACCATTGTCCACCTCTGCCAGCTTGGAGGACATCCAAACCCATAGCATTAGTGAAAAAACGAAGTCCCAACTCTGCGTAGCGGCACAGAGTTCACTTTTCCCATTTACCCTTGGCTTCTCAGCAGACAGACAAATCGCTTGGAGGGCCACAGCTAAGTTATTATTTCAGTTAAGTCAGAGATTCAGTGTTTTTCTAACAACTTGATCAAATTAATCTGATTGTTCAAGGTTTTGACCCATTGGCTTGTCTTACCTGCAATTTCCAGAAACCTTTTTCTTTGTTGCTGACTAGCAGCCCCCAAGCAAACCTGACATAATATCTTGATAAGCCCCTTCCCTGATTCTTTCCAGCTGGGGAAGTTGCAGCTTTTGTCTAGCCCAGAAGTTCTCAGCCCTGGCCACACACTAGAATAACCTGAGGAGTTATTTTCTTCACTATGCCTCATCTGGCCTCAACCCAGTCAATCCAATCAGCATTCCTGAGGTGGGATCAGACAAGGGATAGTTTTGGGAGCTCTGCAGGTGAGATTAGAATCTAGTCAGGGTTAACAGTCTGATCCATCTCCTTTTCTCTGCTTTCTGTACTCGTCAGCTGATTTCCCTTCAGCGCGCATTACTGTCATCATGACCATTATTTGTGATACTGAGGATTGAATCCAGGGCCTTTGCCCTAAGCTGCATCTTCAACCCCACCCCCTTTATAAACTTTGAGACAGGAACTCACTAAATTGCCCAGATTGGGCTTGAGCCAAGTGATCCTCCTGCCTCAGCCTCCCAGCGTGCTGGGATTGCAGTTGTGCACCACCATGCCCAGTTTCCATTATTCTTCTCTCACACTTGCTCCCACTGTTGCTACTCAAAGCAGACAGTGTCTCCCTTTTGTGTGGTCAACAGAAAAAGAAAACACAGACCACAAGATCTTTAATTATTGCTCCTCAAAGAGACTAAGAAGGGTTAGAATTATCTGACGGCCCTTTAGATTGCATACTCTCAGTTACTCGGAATCTGCATTTGCACAAAATTCTTGAGTGGTGAGAGAGAACATTGGAGTTGGAGAAGCACTGTTCTAACTCACTCATAATCCACATCTGCATTACAGAACTGCACTGTCCTAAACCCTCTCCTCCATTCGCCTGGTTGGAACTGTGTGGTTCAAACCCTCAGCTTCCAAGGGGCTGACAATGCTCAAAATACTGTTCTAAGTGACTCTCAGATGTTGTTCACTCCATCCTAGTGACTGCTCTTGTGTGCTGAGCCTGTGATTATCCAGTTGAAAGAAAACAAAGTTCAGAAAAGTGACTTGTCTGTGCTGGTAAGTGATAGACTCAGGGTTTTGAGAAAGGTCTG